GTACCAGGGATTGAACTCAGGGGCACTCAACCACTGAACCACATCCTCAGCCCTATTTTGTATTTTATTTAGAGACAGGATCTCACTGAGTTTCTAAGTGCCTCGCCATTGCTGAGGCTGGCTTTGAACTCCTGATTCTCCTGATCAGTCTCCCAAGCCGAGCACCATGTGCTGGGCTGAGGCTTAGCGTTTAATCCCTTTGTCAGACTTACAGTAAGTACCAGGGCACATAATATAGTCTGCTCCAACAAAAAGTTGAGAAATGTATAATATCAGGTATATAGCTTCACACTTTCCAAGATATAGGGTATTCTCAAATGCTCTGCATTGTTTTTGAATTTTTACCTTCAATTTGATTATCAGTATAGGAGAGACATACAGTATTTCTAGTAACAAGTAAGGATTTTATTTATAGATGAAAGGAATATCACCTGTAGCCAAATAGTAGTTTACCTTGCTATTCCATTAAATTAGGAGTCCTATGTATGGTTCTGATGCTATTTATCTAAATTTGATACATATGTTTTAAAAAGCTGTGTGTGTGTGTGTGTATATGTATATAATTTTTTTTTTTTTTGCGGTATTGTGACTCTAGCCCAGAGATATTCTAGCACTGAGCTATATCTGTATCGCCATCTTTTTTATTTAAGTACTGTTATGCTTTTTAAAAAATATATATATTTTTAGTTGTACATAGTCACAGTGCCCTTATTTTATTTATTTATTTTTATGTGGTAGTGAGGATCGAACCCAGTGCCTTGCTAGACAACCACTCTACTGCTGAGCCACAACCCAAGCACTATCCCCATCCCTTTTTAAAATTTTTATTATTTATTTGTTTAGGTGCTGGTGATTGAACACATGCACTCCACCACTGAGCTATAACCCCAGCACTTTTTTGTTAATTTTAATTTTTTAAGATATCATTTCAATAAATTGCCCACACTGGACTTGAACTTGGAATCCTGGTTTAGCCTTCTGAGTAGATGAGATTATATACATGTGCCATAGTGCCCACTGATGTACTCTTTCAAATGAATGTTATCACAMACAAACTGACTAAACAATGCTTAGTGTTCATAGTTCTTTCAACTTTTTTTCTTTTTGGTAAGGTTCCCTTTTTGTGGAAATAAAAAAAGTATGTTAAACACTCTATAGATGGTTCTGTTGTTGATGGTTGATGGTTGTCTCACAAGTGTATGAATTTCTCTTGACCTTATTTGCCCAATTAAAAACAATGATTTGGCTTTGTTTTCAACTAACTTTTTAATAAAAACAGTATGGGTTAGATGGTTAAAAATGACATATACAGTGAAGGGTAAGTTTCTCTCCTGTAGCCTTCCTTTTCTTTCCACAAGTGTCTACTGTGGTTTGTGTATCTTCAAGAGGCCTTTAGAGGATAGTTCTGTGTATATCTAACTTCATCCATTTAGGTATGCAAATTGGAACTTTATTATCCTGCGTGTGTGTGTGTGTGTGTGTGTGTGTGTGTGTGTTACTTAACTATAGTTTGGGGATTGTTACACCATAATTTGTTGAGGTTTATTACTGTTCCTTCGATTGTTTATAAATTGGATATGATTGATCACTTGAAACTATAAATATTTGCCTTTGGAGTTAAATTAGTATGATCATGTAAATAAATGCTTTATAGTTGATATTTTAACTTAGAGAAAGCAAGTGGTAAGGAAAAAGGCAGCTATATTAGGGTTAAGGACCTGGTGAAACTTGACATTTCTAGTGGTTAAAATACGTACTTTGATATTTGAAAAAAACCCCTGTATCCACAGTTTATTTGTTCAACATCAAACAATGTGAAAATTCAGATACTGAAGAGCTGATCATGTTTTGTTTTATTCCCCCCCCCTTTTTTTGTTGATACTGGGTATTGAACCCAGGGGCATGCTTATCACATAGCTATAGCCCTTTAGATTTTTGTTTTTGAGACAGGTTGTCATTAAATTGCTCAGACTGGCTTCCAAGTTTCGATCCTCCTCCTTCAGCCTCTGGTGTAGCTGGGATTACAGGCATGTGCCACTTTATCTGGCCACATTTGGAAGTTTTTGAAGCCTTAGGAGATGAAATTTAGAATCTATATTAACTGGTAGGAAGTCAGCCAGATTAATTTAAATACTAGAATATTCTTTAAGGGGAAGTTTGAGGTTGTTTGTTTGTTTGTTTTTGGTTACTGATGCTACATCCCCAGCCCTTTTTATTTTTTATTTTGAGACTGGGTCTTGCTAAATGGATTAGGGCCCCAGTCTCCCAAGTGATTGGGATTGCAGGAGTGGCTGGGATTATAGGTGTGTGTTATCTATCATTCCTGTCTTGAGATATATTTTATATCTAACACATTCTGCACAAACATTTTTACTAACTTTTTTTGTTTTTTTTTTGGTACCAGAGATTAAACCCAGTGGCGCTTAAGCACTGAGCCACATCCCCAGGCCTTTTTGTTTTTTACTTAGAGTCTGGGGTCTCGAAGAGTTGCTTAGGGCCTCAATAAATTGCTGGCTTTGAACTTGGGGTCTTCCTGCCTTAGCCTCCTGAGCTGCTGGGATTACAGGCGTGCGCCCTGGCTACTTTTGCTGATTTTAAAAAGGTGTATTTTTGGTGTTAAGTAATTATAAAGATCACATAATAAATTAATACAATTCGTATTGTTAATATTTTTAGGTGTGAATCAATAATGTTATATTGGTATATAGTTGATTGAATGTTCTTTTTAGAAAGTATATGCTGAAATAATTGTGATTGAAGTGTAACTTTGAAATGATTCCAAAAAACACTACATTTAGCAAATAGGGCAAAATATTCATTGGTTTCAGATGCACAAGCACTGTGTGTCTTTGAAATTTTCCATAATAAGATGTTGCAGGGAGGGAAGCATACCCCCTAAAAAGTTAATAAAAAAGCTGGGTGTGATGCACGCATGTAGTCCTAATACTCAGGGGCTGAGGTGGAGTTCAAGGCCAGCCTGAGATTCATAATGAGACCTCATCTGAAAGGTTAATATAATCACAATTACTATTTTTTTTTTGTGGTACTTAAAATTGAATCTAGGAGTGCTTAATTACTGAATTACACCCCCCAGCATTTTAATTAATTAATTAATTGTGTGTTGGAGGTAGTAGGGAATTAAAYCTAGGGGCTTTCTACCACTAAGCTATATTCCCAACCCTTAAATGTAGAAGGTTTTTTTTTTTTTGGGGGGGGGGGCACCAGAGATGGAATCTAAGGGAGCTTAACCACTAAGCTACATCCCTAGCCCTTTTCATTTTTTGTTTTGAAACAGGGTCTCACTAGGTTGCTTGTAACCTTGCTAAAGATGCTGAGGCTGGCTTTGAACCTTTGTCATTCTGCCTCAGCTTCTTGAGCCACTAGGATTAGAGGTCTGTGCCACCACGCCTGGCCTTTATATAGAATTTTAATCAGGTCTCACTAAGTTGACATTGCTTGCCTGTATCTTGTGATCTTCCTGCTACAGCCTGGTATTTCTTAAATTACAAGCAGGTGCACAGCTTTTGGTGAATTTAGCCTGAAAAATAATTAATTTACCAGTTAATTCTTGTGTCATTGAAGCTACTTTTATGTAGTTTTATTTATAGGAAAGATAATAAGAAATTTAATTACCTTTAAAAATATTTATTAATTTTTCTTTTATGGTGCTGGGTTTTGAACCCAGGGTCTCACACATGCTAGGTAAATGCTTCACCTCTGAGTTTTATCCCTAGCTCTATATTGCTTTTAAACTGAAGGCTCAAGTGTGGTACATTTTAGTAGTGTGAAATTTTGAGTATTTTGACCATGCTTAGTATGTAATTGTTTTAGTAAATAAGACAATTACTAATATGTAATATTTTATTAAATAAGACATAAAAAGKATTGATTGGCATTTTCAATCTTTTTATTGGATAGAGATGATTAAGTATTAAAAAAATGGTTAAAATAAGCCTGGGCAACATGATGAAAATCCATCTTAAAAAACAAACAAAAAGAATAAAAGTTATTTATTTGGACTTTAGTAAAACCAAGGTCTTGAATTAACTGTGTTCAGGGCCTCTCAGCTGCTAGGAAAGCTCTCTACTACTGAGCTAACTGGCCCCTACTATTTTATTTAGAAGGGGAAGTACTGCAAAATTTCCCAACTCTTTTGAGTTGGAAAGAGGTAAGATGTGATAGCAGCTAGTTTCATATTGATGAATAGAAGTAAACATTTCAGGTCATCAAAATGATTTTCAGACCTGTGAAGTTAATGCTTTGATTCTGAATTATTTATAGCTAGAAAGAGTCACTGTCTTGTGCTTCTTAAGACCAGGGAATCGATGAAATGGGACAAAGCTGTGTGTGTGGGCCTGTTTTCTGTAGTATAGTATTGGGGCAGTTCTTATTTGTCAAAGTTGCTTGAGGTGCTGTTGTGTTTCTGCTTCTGTTTGTACTTTTACTTCCAAGTAAATAATTTTCAAAATGTTGCTGTTCTCTAATGGAGAATGTGGTTAGTATGCTTTATTTGTATGGAGCAGAATGTGGTGGTAATCTTGATTAAATATTTATAAAATCATGTTAGTGAATTTCTAGGAATAACACAGCCTTTTTTCTTCTTTTGTAGCATAAGCAGTACTATAATGGATGTAGACAGCACAATTTCCAGTGGGCGTTCAACTCCAGCAATGATGAACGGACAAGGAAGCACTACTTCTTCAAGCAAAAATATTGCCTATAATTGTTGTTGGGACCAGTGCCAGGCTTGCTTCAACTCTAGTCCAGATCTGGCAGATCACATCCGTTCCATACATGTAGATGGTCAGCGAGGAGGGGTTGGTTTTGACATTTCTTTTTTTTTTTCCACTCCCTGTTCTCATTAGTTTTATTAATTTGTAATTGCTAGTTAGACCTTTTCCTCCCCCCCCCATAGTAATTTAGGATTATTTTTACATAGGCTTTATTTTTTCAGATGATTATTTTTCTTTAGTTACTACCCCATCTACTTGATAGAATCAAATGAAAATAGGATATATTACATATTGGATTTTAGTTTGCTTCTAGGTATGTTATTCTGAAGAATTTAGACTTTTAAAAAATGTATGGAAATATTATAAATGAATATATTTCAAGGTTCTAATGTTTTGAGTTGAAAACACTTAGGAATTGGCATTGTCCTGGATTTCCCTTGTTAGAGGGTTCTAGATTAACCTTGTTGCTGAAATCAACTAGAGAGACTATTGGTACTAGAATTACTATATGCAATTCTATTTAATGACAACCTGAACTCATTTTTCATAGATAAGAATTGATTATCTATTCCAGGTCTTGTCAGAACTCATTTAGATAGAAAGTTCTGACTAGTCATTATTGACCTATACATTTTCAGGTATACATTTAATTGTGTCAGCTCATGAAATTTCACGTTAATGGGTAGTGAATAAAGAACTAAGCAAATTAGATGAGTTAAAGTGTAATGGACTCGAATATTTAGAATTATTTTTAGTTTTTGTTTTTGTTTTGATTACTGGGTATTGAACCCAAGGGTGCTTTACCACTGAGCTACAGCTTCAGTCTTTTTTATTTATTTTGAAACAGGATCTTGCTAAGTTGCCCAGGCTGGCCCTGAACTTGTTCATGATTTTCTTGCCTCAGCCTCCTAAATTGCTGGTGTGCATCACTGTGCCCARCTTATTTTCAGCTTTTCCTAGGTTTGTCTTACTACATATTCCAGAAACTAATGTTACATCGTACGTACAGATAATTTATGAGGCCATTTATCTATCAGCCTGCCATTACCGTTGAGGTACACTGTTGCTGAAGTGATTAAAATCATCACAGTTTGAGTAGGCAACTGTTTGCAAGATTGTATTGATACTTAGATTATAGTATTGAAATATAAAAAAAAACATACAGCTGTGACTGTGGACATAGGTCAGTAGTTGAGCTCTTGACTAGTATGGGTGAGGTCCTGGGTTCAGTCCTTAGAACCCTCCAAAACCAAAAATACAACCATATGAACACATTTGAGATTTAAGAAATTCTCATCCCTGTTACAATATTATAATGTGCCAGAAATCTTTTGTTTACTCAAATGTGAGACATAAATACATTTGTTTTCTTAAATTTAGAACATCTGAGTAAGTCAAATTTTGTACTTCCATATGATCTTTTAATGAAACTGTATTCATAATATGGTATTTTCATTGTTAAAGCCAGTTTGTTGGTTATTCCTTATTCAACGWATTTAGAGTGAAGTGTCTTACCAGGTTAGTTTCCTTGCTACTACAAAAAAACCCCCGTCTTTTGTGAACCAATGCTTGATGTGACTTGGTATGTGCTGCTTTTGAGACTTGGCAGATGCTTTTTTGTCACTTAGCAACTTTCTTGTCACTTATATACTATATACGGGATCACAAATTATGTAAAAAGATCCCTGGGCTTCTCTTAGGTGTGGGAGAATTTCACATTTCTAAGTCTTGGATCCTATAGATTGAGTTGGCACACATCCTTAAAAGATTGTTTTCAGTCCTTTACAAATTTGTAGGAAAAATGCAGTAACAAACTGACTTTTCTAATTTTCTAAAGTAGAAGTATTATGTAATCACCTGCAATTACATGTACCTTATTGATATTATAGAACTAGTTATGAAATCCTGATATTTCTATTATAAATATAATTTTATTGAAATTAAAATTCCCCATGTAATTTCTTGAGCCCTTATTAAAATATTTCTTTATTACTAATGATTTCCTAGCTGATTTTAGTAGTAAAGCTATTTTGACCAAATAAATGATTCTTGATATTTCAAGGACATTAATTTCTTCATTATAAAATAAAAGATGAAGGAAACGTACACATTTTCTACATACCACTCACTGGTGTAGAGAATTTCATACTTAGTACTGCTATAAAAGACACAAGAGAAATCCTGAACTGATTTGTAATTTGAAGTTAGGTCTTGTGTTTTGAAGTATAGTTGGTGGATTGAATTTTTTTTTAAATGACCTCCTTGAATATAACTTTAAAAAACTTTTTCTTAACCGTTTTAAGTGTGTAGTTCAGTGACATTAAGTATATTCATTGTGCAACCATCACTAACTACCTGTCTCTAGAACTTTTTCATCATCATCTCAAACTGAAGTCAGTAACCATTAATCAAACTCATTCTCTTCTGGCAACAGTCCCTGGTAACTACTACTGAACTTTCTGTTTCTATGAATTTGACTTGTTCTTCATACATCATCTAACTTAAAAAGCATTTAATTTATGGCTTAATTGTTTTCTTATTTCTTTTTTTTTTTTTTTGTCCTAAGTGTTAAATTGTCATCATGGAATAGAAACAATGAGGAAAAAATTTGTTACTCTCGAAGATTTTATGCTCCTAATTATTGAAACATGACAGTCATGCTGGAGCAGTAAGTTAGGCAAGATCTAAGTATCGTATTCCTTTTCTTCTCATTCCACTGTAATCCTTACCCTAGGAAAAACAAAAAACAAAACTATCCTTTAATAGCTTAGGACCCCCACACCCCCAGGTACTTATGTTGTTCTGTACCTGTAGACTTAAATTGGGTTTGGAGGCTGAAGTCAAGTGCAGTTTAGATTATCTTGACCATTTTATATATCAGAGTGAATTGATGGACATTTAACCATTTAAACACCAAATTATAAATATTTTATGTATATAAACTTTYTTTTTTTTTTTTTTTTTAGTATTTGCTGTTAAACCCAGAACCTCTCCCATGCTAGGTAAGTGCTGTACCACTGAGCTGTATCTCTGTCCCTTCTTTAAAATTTTGAATCAGGGTCTCATTACTACCCACATTCAGCAAATTATGGATATTCTTATACACATGAGAATGCTTTCTACAATTAAAAAATAAGTAATCAAGCTATGCACATTGGCGCACACCTATAATTTTAGCTACTCAGGAGCCTGAGGCAGGAGCTTTACAGRTTTGAGACCAGCCTGGGCAATTTATTGAGACTCTATCTCAAAATTTAAAACAAAAGGGACTGGGGATGCAGCTTAGTGGTAGAGCACTGCTGGGTTCAGTCCCCAGTATCACAAAATAAATAAGCAAAAATGAATAAATAAATTCCTTTTATCGAGCTCCCCAAACCAGACCTTGAACTATTTTACAAATCAAATTTCAAACTTTACTGTTTTATATACCTAAGTCTTGTTGGGAGCTTCATCTTCGATTAAGTATGAAGTCCATTCATRTACTGTTCTTTCTGCCTTAACTACTTCACACATTAAAAAGAATTGTTATGTCAAAGGATGGTGGTGGTGGGGAATTATCAGAAAGAAATCAGCTTTCTTATGTAGGATTTGTGTTTAGTTTGTTTACTGTTGTGTATATTCTTGAATGTGTTTTGGAGTGATGGGATAATAGGGTATTTGAAGATTAATGTAGCCTGACACTTTTATATCTTATAAAATTTCTATGTTGAATTTGTGGGAGGGCTTCTAGTATTCTAAGTAAGTCTTAGGAGGTTTTTTGTTGTTGTTATTATTCTTTTGTTTGTGGTCCTGGGAATCAAATCTAGGATCATTGCACATGCTGTGCAAGTTCTCTACCACTGAACTACTTCCCTAACCTGGTCATTTTGAGTTTTGATTACCAATTAGGCATATCCTAAATACAACATAAAATGGGTCATATCTTTTATAAGAAATGAGAAATAGTTTAGTCTTAGTACTAGATTTTTTTTTTTTTTTTTTTTTTTGGTGCTGGGGATTGAATGTAGGGCCTTGTGTATGTGAGGTAAATACTGTACCA